ATGTAACAACCATTTATTTGGCCAAAGAAATCACTAGTCTTCTAGGTCTGATCGAATCAAATATGTTATTCATTATTATTCCATGCTTTTGTTGAGTTTGTTCGAATAATAATGAGTAATGACTGCATGGCCGACTTTTAGTGGTAGTTGGTCTTTTGGCTGCATTTGGAAACGATGCAAATATGTTTGAACGCAAATATGTAAAGTGTAAAATGGTTTATATAAATTGTAAAGTTGGGTTAGTTTTGCATTGATAAATTTATTTTCTTGTCAAATACGAATTTCAATAAAACATATTTTCTTTTATTAAGAGCACACTTGAATACAAATTTACTTCTTTTTTATTGATGTATTTTTACATATTATTATCAATGTAAATATGCATTAACCTATTATTTGTCAATACAAAAATGTAATGTTACCAAACACAGGCAAAAGTGAATCAGAATGCAAATTTACCCTGAACCGGGATTTACACTCTCTTTGCATCGTCTCCAAACACATCCTTCAATAACATAAATCTATATTGGTTAACCTCTAATGCTTAGATAAATCCTTTGGCTTTGATCATGACTGTTTTATTTTGTGAACATACCAATTATCCTCAACATGGCTTAAATTTGGGGTTATATTTCATGCCCAATCAAGAGGTTTGTTTATTTTTATTTTACATTTATTTATCTTAATTTATTATTTATTTATTGAATCATAATTTTAAATGCCGATTTGGATGGCATGATTGTTGTAACAAGCCATATTGGTGGAAACGATTAATCCTACCATCAACATAGAGGGTTATTGTAGATGTTATTGTTATTTATTGGCTAATTGTAGATGAACAACTGAAATCGTGTATACTGTTACTATTATTATTATTTTTGAAATTTGTTTGATGTCATCATGGGAGCCAAGTTTGTTGTTGTGCTACAATATTATTCATGTCAAATATTGGTCACAACGAGACTAGTAAATGGGTGTCCAACGTGTTTAAATAATAACCATGCATGAAAATTATGTTCTTAGATAATGATTCATGGATGATTGTTATATAGTATATGTTTGGTTTCGCCAACGTTTAAGTACAGTGCCACATAGGCATCCTGTCAGCAAATGCTTCATTAATTGTATTTGTGTGAATCGAAATTTGTAAAAGCAAAATTTGGTTTTTATATGCTTCTCTCGTTTTAAAAATTTTCATTTTGGAGTTTTCTAAAACGGGTAGGCATTTATTGGCATTTTGTTGATGTATTACTTAATGGTGACTATGTATCATAAACACCCTCATTAAATGTGTTTCTCGATTTTACAGTCACACAAGTACAAAATATTTATTGAATAAACATAAACGGACCCAAACACCCTCATGGACTGCCATATATGATTTTAATCATCAAATAAATTATGATTAAGTAGAAACAATAGACTGTTAGTAAACTGTTTAAAGATCTTGCTCACTAAAATCATGCATAACACGTTATTTGCCCAATATTTTTATTTAAGTGGGAAATTTTTCTTTATTTACCCACATTATATTAATTGTAGTAACCAGCGAAAAATTTGGACCTGCCAAGTCATCAAATGGCAATCATGGTGATATCTAAATTGGTTTTTAATGGGCTTACTTGCCACACGTTATTAGTTGTGGGCTGTAGGCCCATTATCTGATTTATTGCTTGGCGTTTATTATTCGGACCAAAATACCAACTTTCTTATGGGCTTAATGACCCAAATTGTAATGGGTCAAACCGGACAAATCCAAACCAGTTCAACTAATGCAATTCGGTTAGTGGTCTGGTTCATAGCTAAACCAAATGAGTTATTAAAAAATAACTCAAGTGGCCAAATTATACTGTGCCAATTAGGTTGCTCTACATTTCATTACAAATCTGGAATTCCACAAACAAATGAAGCATATTGACTGCCACTTCATCCATGAACATATTCAAAAGCGGCACATTAAAATTTTTCATGTTCCCACACGACAGCAACCTGCTGACCTCTTCCTAAATCTTTGAATGTATCTCAATTTCAATTTCTTCTTGGTAAGTTGGACATTTTTTTTACCAATGCCCAACTTGAAGGGTTGATGAGAGAACAGAAAAATATTTATAACAAATCACACAAGTTAGCGACGTCGTCACTACAATTGCAATAACCTGATAAATAGCCTTGGCTGCGGAATGAAATACACCTTTTCTTTTGCCCGTCCTCTACTTATCAGAATTTGTCATACAACAAACAAGAAATATTGTTACTATAATATCTCCAAGCCTCGTAATTCAACGGATGTGCAACTTTAAGTCTATATTTGGTTGGAAGGAAAAGATAAGGAAAGGAAGGGAAATATAGGGAAACCTATATAAGGTCTTTAAAGGTTTTTCTACATTTCTCTATCTTTTCCTTCAAACCAAGTGATGAAGGAAGATTTGGCCCGATCTCGCAATCACTCAACGTGGTAAAAGCAAACAGCCCAGCGCAATCACGCACCCAGGGCGCAAGCACCAAAGGGAAGAAACCGGCAGCTCAAACTCCCTACGAGGAGCCCGACCTCCCTACTAAGAGCTCGAACTCCCAACGAGGAGCCCGATCTCCCTACTAAGAGCTCGAACTCCCTACGGGGAGCCCGACCTCCCTACTAAGAGCTCGAACCCCCTACGAGGACCTCGACCTCCCTACGAAGAGCTCGAACTCTCCTTTAGTCCCTGAGCCACACAAGGCAGTGACCCAAACTGGCCCGCCTCATGGTAGTTCGGGACACTCCCCTATCCGAACTCAAGACTTCACCTCGTTCGCCACTCCAACACTTCACCTCCGAGACGCCGAACTGAACAAACGTACCATACCTGACACCAAGGAGGTACGTATCCAAGGGCGGCGCATCTGACTGACTTGGGATCTGACGCTTGACAGCCGCACTTCAATGGTCACCTACCACCGCCACCTGCCACCATCATCGCCAGTCGCAGAGACGGCTCCGACAAAAGGGAGCAGTGGCGGTTCTGACCAGCAGAGGGGATGACACCCGAACTGGCAGGAGGCCAGAGGTAATCATACCCGACCTGACAGAAACTTAGGAGTGAGTGCGCGAGGTGGTTATAAAAGGCTTCCTACCCCCAAGAACAAGGTACGTGAACTTTGCGCCATCTAGTTTTATCTTGCCTTCCTCATCTTTTAACTTGAGCTTCGGAGCATTCATACCGGGTTCCCCCCAGAGCTTCCTCATCTTCTCTGTTTCAGGCTCCCTATAGCTCCGTTCAGAGGCAAGATCATTGACAGGTAGGACCAGCCGGATTGCGCACCATCACCAAGCACAGTCTAAGGGAATGCTTGCCCTCACGACACGGAGAAATGTAACAACTTGCCAAAATACTAGAAAAGTAACAAAGTATGAAACAGACAATTACCATTCCATTGCTCTTGAGGTTGGTTTTTAGTTCTCCTACCTTCTTAACTTTACATATGAAGTAGATGGAAAGCAATCCGATGTGCACTTCTTGAAATCGCCGAAGAAGTGGATGGAAAGAAACTTCCTGGAGTTTGACTTCAGTCAGGGCAAAGTTCATTCGAGCAATCTTTACAGCCTTGCATTGGGAATATCTCCCTACTTATGTGCTTTATTTCATGGGTAGATATTTCCCGTGCATGATTACAAGAGGATGTTGGAATGGTGTGAGCATGGGCTTGGCCTAACCGAAGCCAAACTCCTCAAGAACGTAATGACCATGAAAATGTCACATCTCCAACAACATGCATTGAAATAAAACGTGGAAACATTAGGGGTAATTTGGTCATATAAATTATTTAAGGCAACCTGATGAAAGGTGAGTTTTGAACAATAAATGCTCATTGCAATGGGTCTCTCTAAACGTTTTGAAAAGTCTCAGTGAGTTCAAGAGAAATGCGAACAAGTTGTGGTGAGTTTTACATAATATCTCTTTTGTTTATTTTCAAAAAATAAATATTTTGTCAGGAAAACAAAAATTAATAGAAATTCTAATCCAAAGGAAGGGTAGCTTACTTTGGGCTTTCAGTGGCTCCATAGGGGTAGCAGAGTCCATGAAGACTGAAATCTTGGTTGTCCTAAATGGGCTGTTATGGTCCTGCACGTAGGATCCCGTCACGAGTCGGTCCACAGTGCGAAAGCCCTGCTTCCCCTTGTGCCTTCCCTTGCTTGCAGACCCGATTACGGAAACTGAATGGGTGATTTGTCTAAGAGACCACCCGAACTCTCCTAAGGGGGTGTTTGTCCAAGAGACCACCCAAACTCTCCTCACTCTTTTCTTGACTGAAAAACTGAATGCTCTATTTCAATTCGTAGCTCCTTAAATAGGAGATTACAGAAGAAAATTCCTAATTAAACTCAAACTCCAATTTGAACTCAAACTCCTAATTACCTACTCCTATTGGTAACTCACTCTTACTTAAGATAAGATAAAGATGAGATTAGATAAGGATAAGGGATAAGGGATAAGATAAGGATAAGGTAAGCTGGCGGCGAGTTGGCTTGATGAGTCCAGATAAGGATGGGCCCACCCCTATGATCTGTTGTGTGGGCCTTGCTCTACTGCTGCTGCTGGCTGCCGCGCAGTGCGTACGCGCGCCTCAGGGTGCCGCTGCCGTGCGCGCGCCTCATGGTGTTGCTACCGTGCGGTACCGGGTGTGTGCGCGGTGCGTGCTGGTGTGCAGTGCGTGCGGTGCGTGCTACGCGCCATGGTGCTGCTGCCGTGCGGTGCCGGGCGTGTGCATGGTGCGTGCTGCCATGCGGTGCATGTGGTGCGCGCTGCTGCCTGGCGGTGCGTGCTGCGCACTATCGACGGTGCATGCTGCTGTGCAATGCTGCCAGGCGGTGCCCACTGCTGTGTGTGCTGCTGCCTATGACGGCGCCGCGGTGCCTTGCCGGATGGTGTGACCATAACATTACACCCCTCCCGGACTACGAGCTTGTCCTCAAGCTCGTGTTCTGGATACATGGCTTGGGATTCTACGAATGGATCCAACGACTACACACAATTTCTCAGTCCAGCAACAGTATGAACAATAGGGACTGCCCCGTCTCTCCGTGCATCACGCTGGATTATTTGGTGCCGATCCCAGCCACCTTCTTTTGTTTCCCGCTCCCAGGCATAGCCATGGCTTACAGTGACTACACGCTCTACGGCACTCAGGCCAGCCGCAAGGACATTGAAGTGTTCCCTACCTCCTGGGTCATATAGTTTGAAGTAGTTTTGTGAAAGGTCCACATAACAGAAATCACGTACTGGACCACGACCCCGTTGTGCTCTATTGTGGATCATAAGAATGCTGTACCGGGTATGCTTACAGTAGAGGACCTCTAGAGCGGCCTTACCGAAGAGGACCATGCGTTTTAAAATATCCTCTCGGCTTTCCCCATATATTTTTTCCTCAATATTACAAAACATAGGACTGTCCATGAACACAAAATCTTTGTCATCAATATAAGCTTGGAAGAAAATTACCTCTATATCCTGCCCCTCCACCTTACATCTCTTGCGCACTCCTGTTTCTTGGATTTTTGTATAGTTACCATACGGTGGTGCCACAACCATAACTTTATGTCCACGCTGAGCCAAGGCCTTCGGTAAAGCCCCAGCAACATTGCCAAGCCCACCTGCCTTCATCAAAGGAGCGCATTCAGTAGGTTCTACTATAATGTTCGTGTCATCGTCCCTGGCCAAAAGAGGAGACTTTACAGTTTCATCCTCCGTGCGYTGATCCTTGGAATTAACTACAGCTGTAGGGGCAGCGATCTGTTGTTCGCTGCATGCCTCTGCCTAGTCCGGACGGCGTCTGTTTGTGTTGGCGATTCCCTC